GCCCCCCCGCGCCGGTCACCTGTGGCCGCCGGCCGAACCCGGCCGGACCCGGGCTGCCCCCGGCCCACCCGAGGCCGGTGTCGCCCGGCCCCCGCCGACCTCGGACCGGACCCCCGGCGCCCAGCCTCCTCCCCGCCCCCTTCCCCCGGGACGGGTGCCCGACACCAACTTCTGCTCGCGAACTCCGTTCTGCCTCTTTCTTGGCCCAGGGCGACCTCGGCAGCCCTGACAGCGACAGGCCCGCCGCCGCAGTGCCCAGAAAGGCCCCCGGGTGGCCCGGCGCCTCCCCGGCTCTTTCTGGATGGAGGCGCCTCAGGAAGGAGCCGGCTGACGATTTGGCCTTGGCTGCCCAGCCCCTGCTGACCATGAACACACCTCCCCTAGTGCAGAGGCCGCGGTGAGGGGCAGGAAATGCTGCGCCAGGTGAGGCCCGTTGGGCGGGACGGCTCGGCGAACCTTCGAACCTTCGGGGCGCTTCCAGTCTTTTCGACTGGACCCCCACAGAGACCTGGAGCTGTCCTGTTAAGAGGGGAGGCCGGCTGGATGTGGGGACACCTCTGCAGGGGCCGGGGGTGGGGCGTGGGGCGGGAAGGCCAGTGGAGGGGGGATGCAGGAGAGAGGTGGGGAACCCTCCCGACTTCAGGAGCCCCTGGGCCAGGGCTGGTTCTGTGGGTTGCTGGTGCTCTGGCCTAGGAACGCTGGCCGAACCCCAAGAGCAGCCTAGGAGGCCAGAGACCAGGGAGGTGAACAGGCTTGGCGGGGCTTTGTAGGGGGGGCAGTGGAACGTGAGGTTTCTCCGTTTTCTCTGCAAACTTCCTCAACTGTCTGTGCTGGGTCTCCAGCTCCCCATCCTAGTGGAGCAGTTGCACCGGCTGCCCCCTAAGGCTGGGGCTGAGTGTGGGCCCCACAGAATCCCAGAATTCAGGAATGGAGGAACTGCCTCCCGGGGGGGGGGGGGGGGGGCTGAACGGGCCCTGGGAGCAGAGCTCCGGGCTGCCCTGCGCCTCCCTTCCCCAGCTGTGGCTCCAACTGTCCTCCTTTCCAGCCAGGGTGGGGCCCCTGGCTCTGGAGGCCCGAGGCTGAGGTGGAGGGCTCTGTGGCAGTCAGTGCCACGGGGCTGGGGGCTCACAGCACTCCTGCCCATCTGAACAGCTTCCTTCCTTCCTCTCAGCACAGCTGGCTCCCCGGGGTCTTGGTCTGAGAGCTAGGATGGAGCTGGGGCCAGCGACTGAGACCTTCGTGCTGGAGCTTCGGTGTCTCGAAGATGGGGGCCCTGGGCCTGGCACCCTCTCAGGTGAGGGACTAGAGGGAGGTGGCTCTGACCTAAAGCAGGAGACAGTCCTCGGGCCCCGCGGAGGACGTTCTGACAGAGCCCGGCCTGCTGCGGGCGAGAGGGGGCTGCAGGGTGGTGGGCAGCCTGCTGTCTGCAAGGGCGCTCACCTGTGGTTTTGGGGTGCGGGGCTGGGGCAGGCTGCAGCCGCTCACAGCGGCCGAGTTCAGCTGCCTGGAGCGACACTGGCAGGTTCCCCTCAGGGTTTTCCGAGACGGCTGTATCAGGCTGTGGTTGTGCCTGTGACGGGCTCCCTGACGATGCAGATATTCTCAGACCATGCCTGGACCCTGGGTATGTGCTGGCTGGGAGCTGCTGCTATTTCCCCAGTGGTCAGGAGGCCTCCACTGTTCCCCAACCTGTCCCTGGCTCCAGACTCAAGTTCTCAAGATTGAATTCAGGGGCTCTCTCCCACTGCCCCTTGTACCTGAGGCATTGGACCCCTTGCTTCTCTTTTCTCGGTAGCCTTCTCTCTCCTTGTCCACTTTTCCTGACCTCTGCTTCAATCCATCTTCCTCCCCTTTTGCCCAGAGGCAAATATGGCCCTGCAGAACCTTTCAAGATGCCTTCTCCCTCTGGGACACGGTCTGGGGAAACTTTGTATGGTGGTCATGCTCCTGGGGGCCACTTTCCTTCTCTGTGCTTTGAGGGCACTGACTGAGGGCTGGGCCAGGGTTGAACAGCATGAAAAGGACCAAGGCAATTAGAGGGGCTGTGTTGGGATGTGTGGCTAAACGACTCCCCTGGCTCAAATATTTAACTGGAAAAAGTCTTGCGAGGGCACGCACATCAGGTGACACTTAATAATATGTTTACTAAAAACATCGTTGTTTAAAATGCTGGTGTTGCTGTAAGAAGCCAGGACTGGCCACACAGCCAAGTGCTGTGCTAGAAACGTGAGGACTCACACAGAAGCACCGTGCTCCTTGCTGCCTCGAGGGGTGGCAGGAGGCTGGAGTGAATCAGACCTTGACATTGCTGGGGGAACAGGTTTTCATGGCTGTCTTCGCTCACCACACGCATACTCCCGACTGGTGTGTGTTTATGAGAAATGCATTCACTTGTCCGTTAGCCTAAGCAAAGGTTATTAGGACTAGTTTTCTGAAAGGAAGTTATTTTCATATAGATATCCCTTGGTTTTATGAAATCAATACAATCCTGGCAAAGTGGCCGGAAAGCAAAATTTTAAAACATCCAACCTCTGCTTTCTGTTACAAAACTGAAAATACGAAGCTGTAGGAAGAACAGACGTGGAAATCAGACTCGGAAATGGAGAGAGCCTCTTCGGATTTTCCGTGGAACACAGCCTGAATGCTCAAAATGAGAGACAGACACGTGGATATTGTGCAGGAAAGTGAAATGTGACAGTGGAGCGACTCTTACGTAGTGGGGCTTCCTCTACACCTGCACAACCCTGGGCCAGACGTTTCCCCCCTGGCATTCTCGCTATGTCCCTGGGAAGGGTTTATCTCCTTTTTCCAGACAGGGAAATTCAGGTTCCCAGAGGTGACGTAACTGGCCAGTCACCATGTTGACTTGGGGCTATGGAATTAGTCCTTTCCATTCCTGAGTAATAGTCTCAGACACTTCCAGTCTTCAGGCTGTTTCAAACGGAGCTAGTTGCATCCTTGGTACTGCTAAAGTGTTTGTTAGTTTGCAAACTCATTTTCTAACTCACAGGGAGAGGCATTTTCCAAGCACCCACCAGGTTCTAGAGGCGGTGGCGGGGCCCTTCCGGCTTTGCCCGTGAAGCTGGAAGTGTGGGTATCCCGAAGCTGTCACTGACAAGGAGGGCTCCGTGGTGCGGGAGGTCAACGGCTACTAAGCGATAGAGTTAGGGCCTGAACGGAGGACTTCCCGCTGGAAACTTTGTGCTGTCTCTGACACTTCGGTGACTTTTAGGACCGCTAGTGGTGATACTTCCAGGCGTTATTATTTACGGAGAAGGCAAGTTTTCCTTCTGTGAGGTGTGACCCTAACTGAGGTCAGAGTTCAGCACGGGCTTGTGGCTTAGCTGTCCGAACGGCTTGTGCGCGGATTCCCACTGGATGGCGGTGAAGCACGAGAGACTTCTCAGGGAACGGTGCTGGGGAGCCCCAGGCACCCAGGCTCTTGTCACTGCCAAGATCTAAGCGTGGAGCCTGTGTGGAGGGAGGCGCGGGGGAGAGGTGGAACAGCCAGGGTGCAGAGTGACGTGACCAGCAGTCCTGCGGGCGCATTTCTAAGCCAACCCCACACCTCTGGGCAATTCAGTTCCTGCCACGCTGCCATTGTCAACCGAGCCGGTGCTTTTGGGTCCCTGATGGGAGCTCACAGTGTGTCCTAGCGTGGCTGTCCATGGGGCCGGGTCAGCGGGGAGGTCCAGGGGGTCTGCACCTGAGAGCTGCCCGTAGATTTTTCTCTCCTGGCTTCCCGCCATTTCCACTACAGGTGGCAGCGGTGGGAGTGAGAGTCAGGAGGAAGAAGAGGCTCAGGAGAACGGCAGCCCACCGCGGCCAGCAAGCTCAGCCCCGACGGGGGCCGGTGAAATGGCTGAGGAAGCACAGCAGGGGCAGCCGGAGTTGCAACCACAACAGTCACAACAGCAACCAGCGCTGCAACAACAGCCACGGCAGGAGCGGCGACCACAAAGCCGATCCCCAGGACCGCAGCAACAGCGGCAAGCTGACCGAGAATGGCTGCCTCGACAAGAGAAGCACCTGCAGGAAAACCCCCCACCTGTGCCACCTCAGCAGCTGAAACCACAGCTGCCGCCGATGCCGCCGCAGGAACAGTCAGAGGAGCAGCAAGTGCCAGAGCAACACCTGTTGCAGCCACAGCAGAAACCGTTACCACAGCACCAACAGTTACAGAAGCAGCAGCCACAGAAGCAGTTAAGGCAGCAGGAACCGTGGCAGCAGGAGCAGCAGCAGCAGGGACAGTCAGGGCAGCAGCAGGAGGAGGAACAATTCCAGCAACAGCAGCAGCAGCAGCAGCAGCAGGAACTGTTACAACAGCAGCACCTGCAGCAGCAACAGTTACAGCAGCAGCAGAAGGCGGAACAGTTACAGCAGCAGCACCTGCAGCAGCAACAGTTACAGCAGCAGGAACAGTTACAGCAGCAGCAGCAGCAGCAGCAGCAGCAGCAGCAGGAACTGTTACAACAGCAGCACCTGCAGCAGCAACAGTTACAGCAGCAGCAGCAGCAGGAACTGTTACAGCAGCAGCTGTTGCAGCAGCAACAGTTACAGCAGCAGCAGCAGCAGCAGCAGCAGCAGCCGCAACAGGAACAGCTACAACAGCAGCAGCAGCCCCCTCTGCTGGAGCCAGACGAGGAGGAAGAGGTAGAGCTGGAGCTCATGCCAGTTGACCTGGGGTCGGATCAGGAACTGGAGAGGCAGCGGCAGGAGCTGGAGAGACAACAGGAACAGCGGCAGCTGCAGCTCAAACTGCAGGAGCAGCTGCAGCAGCTGGAGCAGCAGCTGGAGCAGCAGCAGCAGCAGCTGGAGCAGCAGCAG